TGCTTGTCTCGATGACCATAAATATTATTATTAAATATTATATAATTAATCAATATATATTATGATATATAATTACTACATATTTAATCGAAAAAAAAATTATCAGGAAAAATCAAATTGATTAGGTAAAAGCAAGCAAAGTGATTTTGTCACTACGGTAGTTGTGAAAACTCCTCATGAGATCGTGCTGATCAGGCTTTGACAGATCTCGTCAGCATACACTGACCATCAACAGGCAACGTAAAGTGCGATTAAGGGTATGAAAGACAGCGAACCTGTCAATCATATGTTTTAAAGTAAATGGTAATAAATTGACATCCATTAAATGAAAACGCCAAGCGAATATTCAACGTGCTACACATATTAATTTTGCTGGCTGCAGTGCGCAACAAGCATTAGTTTAATTCGTCTCCATTTCTGTTAGTTGTCGCTGTCATTATCGCTATGCATAATTATTTGGAAGGCTTCCAAAATCCCAGAAACAACGCAAGAGTTTTCAAAATCAATGTCTTAAATTCACGTACCATCTAAATTACAAAAGTAAATTATCTTGGAATGTGGCGAAAGCTCAAATGAACATATCTCAAATGTTATCATCCAATTGATTTCTGCCACATTTATTATCAGTCACCAGAGGATCAGTGAACATTCATAAATCCGACTGTCTACTTTGTGCCCCAGGTAACGATTTTCACTTAATGATTTGCATGATTGATTGGTGACAGATGAAGTCGGTGAAGTTCGGGCTTAAATATAGAAAACACGGAATTTGTCTGAAACAAACTGTTGCGGTGTTGATCAGCGAAGGACCGTTTTTGGTCATGAAAGGTTTTGCAAATACAGTTGCTGCCCGAAAGGTGAGCAAGAAGCAGAGGGCTAGAGAACGCAATGCAAGTGAGGATGTTTCGCTGGTCGAAATGAACTCCTATACCCTTTATGTGAATATTGGGCTGTCGATAACCCTGCAAAATTTGTTTCGGTTTTCAGCCAGCTTTACAGCCTAGATCAATGTTCTGGTCAGATAAGAGGCTCCAGGTAAAAGGTCACAGCTGAAACTAAATATGAAATCAGATTTCTCTGCAAATTGATGAATTAATGCCTGAAGCGATTCATTAACAGAATTTAATATATTTTGATAATTCTTGTTTGATGCACCTTCACATGTTTATTGGTTTTTATTTGAATTGTACACGTATCACCTTATTTTTTCATATAGTTTTCAGAATACATCAATTCAATACGACCCAGATTACGGTCAATGCCCATCAGGGGCATCCATTCAATGAAACTGGCAGTCAGTGCTTGAATGTATTGGGTATTTCCTTTGAGACATTGTTTGACGCACTGCATGACAAGGTCCAAGACTCTCGGATATTATTGATAAGCGGATGATATTTTAATCTTTCGTTTGTGCCATGCGTGGCTAATTCATTGATATAGCGCGATTACTGTTCAAGATGTTTCTGTCAAAATTTAAACCCAGGTTGTTGAGCGATCTGGTTCAGGATGAATTCCATGTTGAGCAGAGTGCATTCAGCCATTGGATTTTAAGGGTTAGTGGATCTTCAGTCAGAAAGCAAAAAGATCTTCGAGGTCTCTTATAGAGGGCAGTTGCCTACAATGCACAGGTAAAAACAGACTTTTAATTTTCGAACCCACAGTGCCCGTTTTGTATGCATAGACACTAGACATTCTCGATAATTTACTTTGTTGTAGTATTTTAATTGCTTCCTGAAATACATTGGTTCAGTTTCATACTTAACTGATGATTACAAGAGACCATTGTGTGTCTCTAGAAACAAAATGTTTGTTCGAAACTTTAAAAGCGAGGAAATAGAGTGTCCTCGCCACAGCTTTTTAAGACTTAAATTTAAAGAAAACGTCTACACAACGTCGAAAGGATGATTTAGTTTTTGATCAATGACCAGCCGCAGATTAACGTTAATTCATACATTTAGAAAGAATACAAATGCAAAGCATAAGATGGCAGACTGCGCCTTTGCTGTTGTGCATTTACAGAGATATAAAAGGTAGAAATTTGAACTCAAGCGTTGTCGTTGTTTTTGGATTACTTTCACATATATTTTCTTTACAACACAGGTGATGATTTGCTCACCAAATGCATTTTAACGAATGCCGACTCTCTATCTTGGAGAATATTTAGAATTACAATCATTTTGCTCATCCTTAATAAACATTCGAGGTAATGCTGTTTTAATTAAAAGTTTCCTTGCGAATCATTGCGCTTCGGATGCTTGAACACAATATTTTAATTCTATCTGAATGAGCGTATTTTTTTCGATGATCTTGCTGAATTAGGCCACTTTTGTATAATTACATAGATTGAACACAATTTAAAATGAATTTCATCACTTAGTATTCACAACGGCAAGGAATAAAATGGTTTTAGTTTCAACGCACCACTTTCCTAGAATATTGAAGCAAGAAGGTGAAATTATATTTAAGATTATTAATTCCTAAATTGGAACTTGTCGAGAAAGCTTATACAGCGGTATAACAAGAAAACCTAACGTCAATGAAACATTTCATAACATTCCTGACTATGGGTCCATTGTTGAAATTTTTATCTAAAAAATCTATAATATCCTATGTAGCTGTTGCCGGCATTTTACGTAGGATACCCACGATTCGCTCTGCGTCTGATTCTCTCTTATCATGCCTTACGTTGCTCTTGTTCTTTGTGGAAAGTTTATTTTTCACTTTCGTCCAGGCAGATTTGTTTGGTGAGTATAGAACACAACGTATATGAGACAGTAACGTCTCTTGTAATTTTATTTATGCTCCTCACGGCAGTAATACTTTCGACTGACACGGCTTTGCCAAGTCTGACATTCTCTAAGGTTCTATGCCAGCAACAAATGCAGAAACTTTGCGGATCTTTCTTCGGACTGGAAAACCGTCGCGCATCGTTCAATTTGCTTTACACCGTTAAATAGCAATTGAAAGTTTTCGCTTTTAGCAATTCATAATTAGTCCGGTTAATTTTAAATCAGTGATTCGTTTTAGTGAAAAATTCACCTTGAATACGCTATTTTCTTGAACGAGATTTTGACTCTGGGCTCATAATTTATCAGCGGATTTTTCTTTTGGTTAATTACTCGAAAACCCACAAGTAAAACTAAGATGGGAAACGTTACTAACAATCGAGACATTCTCCTATGAATAACGGCGTTAATTGCTG